TATATATATATATATATATATAAATCCAATACTACAAATCCAATACTTTGATGCAGAAAAACTTCTCAAACTTCGATATTTTTCAAAAAGACTGACAGTAAGCAAAATTTTTCCATGAAAAATCTAATGAAATTTCTTGCTGAAAGGTAATAGGACGTATAGAGTACAAAGAAAAAACTGAAAAATCTTAAAAATTTTATCGAAATACAGGAGTTGTTTTTCTGCATGTAAAAAAACTAGTTGTGCACTACTACAGCTGGAAGGTGATTTGGAAGTGATTTGGAATATTGCTATGCTACTTTTAATGCGAGAATGGTAAATAAACGCATTTTAGTGTAATCCTTGTAGCCAAAAAATGTAATTTCCCTAAGCTTTGTAATAGTACCAGTTCCTTACCAAGTTATCAAAGTTCCTCGGTTCAACAAATCAGGAGCAAGAAAGTGGTGAAGTCAGCGAATGCTAATACCATACGTAGGTTAAACAGCCACATTAAGCATTATGTCACTGTTTGGCAGTCCTATACTGACTATGAACTCACAATTTACAAAAAACTAAAGTAATTGAAGTCACGGCATAAATTATAATAAAAAAATTTTTCAATACTTTTTATTTAGTCCTATGTTGATCAAATAACATTGCTTATTGCAGTCCTGGTGAACGAATTATATCTGCGCAAGTGCTATTCTGCAAAGGTGCTCTTGCAACCACATTGTCGCAGTAAAATTAGAATTTTGCATCTTGCTGATTCATTAAATGGTATTAGATGTTCCGCCGCAAAAATTTTTTTATATAATACGAATTCTGCAGATGTAGTAGCTTATTAACAAGCAAATATAGCACACCAGGTATCAGTATAATTAATGGCCATGATGGTTATTTAAAGAAAATTGGTTGAGAGAAGATAGAAGTCATCGGTCTTAACTAGAAGAAACGGCTCAGTTCCTGCTGTTAAAGAAAAAGAGCATTTGACTGCGGGGTCGTCAACATACTTCATCTCCGTCTTGCTTCGCAAAGAACAAAACGATTGATCTAAATTCTCTTCATTAATTATAGCGATCCACAACCAAAATCACCTGCGTTTTTGTAAAAAAGCAATCTTTCCTGTAGTCTTGAGCTTCATTGCTTTTTTGACCTTCCGTTGTTCTTCTTCTTGTTAGATGTGCAGATTCCTTCGGTAATTTGGCAGAACATGTCTATCCAACGTCAAAAAAATTTTTCTGCTAATTCTACTGCATAAAGTGTTGTCGCTGGTACTATAAACATCTACCGTTTCTTACAACATCTTAGATACATTTTCTGTCCACTAATGTATATTCAAAACGTTTTTACACGCATGTTAAGTAATATCTTTCAAAAAAGCCTACTGCACTTAGAAGAAACGATGTGGCTTTAGCTACTCTCCTATAACATCGCATTTAATTTGTTTTCAAATTTTCGTAATGCAATTTAACTGCAGATGCATCCCTATGCAGTAGCTACTTCGTTTCTTGCGCACTCTATTAAAAACCTACCGGCTCGAACAGAAAACCGGCACCGCAAAAGTCTATAAAAATTAATATTCTTCAGTAGAACGGCGTCTTTTCCTCCATCTCCTTTTTCCTACAAAAGATGGAGTACTTCTTAAAGCAAAAGCACATTCATTCCTCTTCTTCCCTAAATCATCGCCCATAGTAGTTGAAAAAGTTGTCTTGTTTAGAATGTAAGAGGAGACCGTCGAATTATATTGTTACCAATCTCCAAACTTGTAGTCTCTGGTTTAGCGCCACCAGCAAAAAATCAAATGCGGCTCGTTACGAAATTTTGCGCTGGGCACAAATATGGCACAACTACATTTGTGAACACGTACTAACCGTTTTTTTCCATGCATCCAAGACTCTTTCATTCAACTCCCGAGAAACTTTTATTCTATACAAACTGCTTTCCAGAATTTTAGTTCCAATGTGTACTACACTTGTTCATTTTTAAAAATAGAATGATGTCAAACCTCTGCTAACGACTTTAAAGTTACCCCTTTAGAGGCCCCTTCTTTAACCACATGTGAAGTCATCAATAAGCAAAAAACTCCTCACAACTAGTGATGAACATTACCTGTAGTAAAACGGACAAATTAAGTTTAATTATACAATGACAGCCACTAAAATAAAGAATTTAAAAAAAATCTGAAATTTCTTGACATATTCATTCTTGGGTTTAAAAAGATTCACCGGTGGCGAACAGAAAAACATAATTGGTTAAAATGAGTACTCCACACGTAAGATGCGAACCAATCACGGCAGATTGCTCTGGAATATCAAAGGTAAAGAAACAAAAGCCAAAAACTCCCTTCAACGCTCCAAAATAGACTACCTTACAAAAGAATGAAATGACCCGTCAATCTAAATCTTTCTGCACTTCCAGTTCTTTTTTCTTACGTTTTTTTTGTTTATCACTAATATCTTTTTACGTTTAGGAACCCCTGCTAAAAAAATAGAACTTAGTTCCTCGAGTAGTCAAGTACTTTCTTGGTCGAATTAAACAACTAGGCCATTTGCTCAGAAATCAAGGATGGAATCCGTATTATCAAAAGTCAGTTCTTCAAGGCCAAGTTGACATTAAATAATCCACAGCTGACTCCCACTCCTTCTAGTAGACTAAAAACGAATTTGCAACGACTGCGCTCCAGTGGAGAAACAAATGCAATATCATCAAAGGGAGCGCACATTTTACAAAAAAAAAAGTACTGAACGTACCAAAACCCTGGATAAACCTCACTGCAATAAGAATCATATTTGATATCTAACCCGCCAACACTACAGCATGATGCGTTAAAGAATTTCCAAGTCCAATAACTTTCTGCTTTAAATGAAGGCTTAAACGAGACTTCTAAATCCTACCGCCCTAAGGATAAAAACTTGTGAGAATTAATTTATTTTTGGTTTGAATTTAAACTATTACGGCAGAAATAAACGTCTGTATTACCGTAGCAGTGGAAGCTCTGAAATTAATAGCGGACTTAATATAAACAGTGATAAATACTAGATGGTATTTAGAAATTTATAAAAGGTTTTCAAAAATTTACAAATAAACAGCGAATTGATTCAAGTAGAAAAATAAGCTTAAGTTTTAAGTGACACAGTGCTTGACAGCTTTCCGAATCGCTGTTTGAGAACGACCGGAGCACACACTCATGAATCGGAAACAGGTACAGAAAACCGGCAAGTGGGGAACAAGCAGAAAAAAGTGATCTAATGAGGGCATAATGAAACAATTTTTACTGAGGAAAAGGCGATAATTATAAAGCTTAGGATCATCGATGTAGTATACTTCAACGTCACAACGTTCATATACTTCTTTCCTTTCTTCAGAGCTCATTTAGACTAGTGGCCTCATTTTTTTCTCCGCCCTGGTGAACAAGGCTTCCGAAGCAGCCCTGCCTAATCAAGCGAGAACAGAATCACCAGTTCAAGCAGGTTGCTAGCAAATAGCATCCTGCATGAGCTTGCAGCAGCTGAGGAACCTTTAAATGCTCCATTTGGTAGAACCTAGCATGATTAAACCAGACCAGGTAAGCGATTGACCTTATTGTAGCTTCCCGCACAAACCCGTCGACCCCTCATGTGTAAAGAATGCGATGCACAAGTAATTTAGCAGGGATCATGAAGGCTTATGTGTCTGAGCACCAAATCAATTCATTTATCAAATCTCCGACTCACTAAGAGTTGCTGACGTAAGCTTTGAAAACACAAAAGCGGTTCAAGTTTCGCAATAGCGTCCTTCATCAGTAGAACTTTCCGAAAATTCGACTACACTGAAAAGTGCATTGAGGATCCAGGGGCTTTCTCAAAATCCATGTTTCCTGGGGAAGAGCTGAGGTGAGATAAAACTCAAAAATATGGGACCATAGATGGTAAAGCGGGTTTTCCTTAAAAAGCTTCTTCCACATAAACTGCAAGATAGCAATCCAAAAAGGTCCGTAAAATCCCATACTGTTCCTTATGCTTCTCTTTAAATTTTTGCCAAAACAACTCAATGGTTTTCATGCAGACCTCACTGCGAAGATCAATAAAGTGCAACTTGCGATTTACCGTAAGATGCTGATATCTTTCAGGCAAGACTTGAATGCCGTTATAAGCTACACACTTATCTGACATAATAGTACTACCTGGGAAGACGAACTGTCGGACAAGCGGTACAAGGGTATCAACATCTCTCTGCTCAATTGCAACAATAAAGCGCTTACTGTTACCCACCTCAAAGCCTTTAAAACACTACTGATGCAGGACAAGCTTATCTCTATTAACTTTTCTGCAAGCCAAAACTGTCTCATCAACCTCGAAAGTTTCACCCGGTCCGCCTAAATTAACAGGATCCGCGTTAAAGTACATAACGCACGCATCCCGGAAGGCCTTAAAATAAGAAAAAATAGTGACAAACCTTACCGTACTGTCACTTTTACGGAGCACTTCCGGTGCGATTTGGTAGTACACTGTTTTGCAAATTTGCGCCCATCAGTAAGATAAATAAAAGACCTCTTTTAGTTTCAAAATTTACCTTTCCCCACTCAAAGCTCCGCCGTTTTACTGCAAATTCTCTTTTTCTATCTAAAGTACCTTCTCCGCGCACCACCGTCTTTAGTCCTATCAGCAGTTAGTGTCATACCGCTGCCGCAAAAACATACGCGTTGAACAAACAGAACCCCAAGAGAAGCCTCAAACTCTCCATCAAAGAGCGTTAGCTTTTAGAAAAAATCCTGAACGCCGATGTTATGCTAGTAATCCGTTAGGAATTTCAAGGGAACAAGTACCGATTACCAACTAACTGGTGGAGGACAATGAGTAACGAGCAAGAATAGCAGAAGCTGAGTTTCAGCTTTAAAGGTATGCAAGGACAATTGGAAATTCTGAAGCTTTACCAGCAAAAAACCTGGATCTTCGCTGGTAATAGAACCAACAGCCAATATGCAACCGGCTAGCTCACAACTGCCTGTGCCGAAACGCAATTCGAGGTCCAAGCACTTTGAAACACATCTGAAGTTTTTGTGCGATCAGGCAAAAAAGAGAAAAGGAAGCTTCTTAAGCTCCGCACGTTCCACTTGCCTTCCCCTGTTCTTTATCTGTGTTCTAATGAGGGACATCTGCTGTTTCCTCAGCTTTTTCCCTCTTCACAGAAATGCACTCACCAGTCGCC